ACCATGCAGGAGAAAGATCGAACAAGCATGTGAGGTGAACATAACTAGTTAATAACTTAAAAGGAAATGTCTGATTCTCAAAGAAACACGTTCTAAAAACCATAGAAGAAACAGAGAAAAGGGATATGCCATCAATGCAAGACCAGGAATAACATGTCTGAGTTGGGTTTTCACAAAATTTGGACTTGACAACATTCATTATCTGCAAAATTACCATCAACAAGTTGGAGCTAGAAATGGTAATTCATGAATACGTAAGCCAACAAATTATGACGTTACTAACAACACCTTTGATCTCAAGTTTAAAAAGTCTCAAACAGTGACACTTCCAAAAATCAAACACGATGATTCATTACCCATCAGCAGTCGTTTTGGTAAATAGTAACGAAATAAAGAGACATGAAATGTGATATTTAAACAAAAGAACACCGAACATGGAGTAAAGACACAAAGAATAACAAGAGAGAGCGGAAATTGGAAACAAATCGAAGAAAGGGGGAACCAAGTAAAGCAGAAGAAAATGGATAAGAATAAGAAACGTAGAAATACAAATATTAAGAAAGAAAACAGATGTACATAAATTGGACTTACCAGAGAGGGTTCGATTAGCTGAGGGGAAAGGAAAGAAAGAAAGGAAGAAGATGAAGAAGAGAGGAAGGAGCGGTGATCACGAGGAGATGTGGAAGTGGAGCAGCTGGTGTATTAGCAGATTGTTTGTTATGAATTTAATTATATTTAAATATAAAAAAGGTAATAGAGAAAATGAAACCGCCATGCAAAAATGAGATAAAAAGAAAATGAAAAAGGGAGGAAGAAGAAGAGATGGAAGATATTGGGAGGGTAAATAGACAACGAAAGAGATATGGGAAGGAGGAATTCTATTGGCTGTTACAGATATTGGGGTCACCTACATGAGTGGTGCTCAACTTGCCATTTTGCTGCTTCTATTCTCTCTCCCTCTTATTTATTTATTAATAAATATTTTATATCTTCCTGTGTCTTTTCTTACTTTTTTTTATTTTTTATTTAAATGTAAAAAAAAATATTATATATGGAGATTTGGATTCGGTACTTAGTGGCCACACAACACCTATAAACGTAAACTGCGTTGTGCGCAAAAACGGATGGTGTGTGGGACCCACTTTACACGTCAGCTCTTAACAAATGAACCGTGTGCCATCCACACGCACATTTCGTTCGTGTGATATTTTTCATTTAGTAATAATAATAAATTATTAATAGTAATATTAAGAATAACTCTTTTATTTTGTTATTTTGTTCTCTCCTTTATATAGACGTATATATATTTTTTTTAAAAAAATAAAATGATATAATTTTACTCAATGAGTATTCAACGAGTATCTCTAACATCGAACCATTCGCTTCGTGTTGTAGAAAAAAGGTTAAGAGAATATTAAATAGGTGAAAGTACTTACTTAGAAATATGAAGATATGCTTGGCATTAACAAAAGCAAACACATTCTAACGTTAAGTCAGTCAAGCAAAAACTCATAAGGTTAAAGACCAAAAATGGGCTAAGCTAGTTCTTGTGGCTAAGAAAGATGACAGGGTAAGAGTTCATGTCGTTTGAATCAGTCAAGACAACTTTTAATTAAAAACAAAAAAAACAAAAACAAAAATCAAAATCGGACACCACATATAACATAAAATTTAGAATACATAGTCAAAGATTA